TAGAAAAATCAAAAAATAAAAAGATGAAGAAATGATAAAAAAAAAAATTTATATTTATTTACATGAAATATATCAAGATAAAATAACAAAAGCAATTCCTATTATTCTCATTAATTATTGGATGATGTTTCTCTTCGTAAAACACTATAGGTATGAGAAATTTCTATCCTGGCTCAATAATTAATGTCCACTGTACCTGTTATAAAATTTTGTCGCTCAAAAAATATGATATCAAAACAATATGTACATTAATTGTAGAACTTAAAATCCTAATTTTTTTTAATAATCATAACGTTCGTGATCAATTTGAAAGTTTTTCAATGGAAAAACTAAAATTAATCTCGTTCGCAAAAGGTTTCAACCTTAATCAATCAAATTAAGGTACGTCTCCAAACTTTGAGAGGTAAATTTGGTGTCGACAATTCTTGGGTTCATGAGAGAATTTATTGTTCTTTAATCATAAAATTTTTAACTTCCAAAAAGAATCAAACAGATCTATAAACATATGAAAATTAAAAAAACAGATGGTCGATATATAGTATGATGGTCGATATAGGCAAAAAAAAAAAAGAAAAAAAAAAAAAAAACTCTTTATAATATGATGGTTCATATAGGCATTATGGTCCTTAAGTACAATCGCTACTTTTATATTTTTTACCCTTCACTTTTTTTTATCATCTGCCACGTCCTTTAATGGACGTAGGTTGTAAACATTAGAAGCTTATTATTAATGTTAGACCTCATGTAAGAGTGGGAGGTGTTTTAAATAATTTAAATAGGACGATATGTAAGACGTCGCTTACCAACTCTTTTTTCGCTCTCTTTTTTACAAACGCAGTGAGCTCTTCTCTTTAGTCGAACTTTTTTTTATTGAAAGTTGTCTCTCAAATATTATGCGTAAGTGACTTCATTGTCTTGAATAATAATTTGTTTTTTTTAAAATGAAATAATTATTTATGTCTATTATCATGAATTTTAGGCACGGTAAATTTTATGCGTAAGTGACCTCATTGTTTCGAAAAATAATCTTTTTAATAAAATTGCGATAGTTTATCTATGCTAGAAAATTTGAATGTTGTAAATTCTTAGAAATAAAAATATTTATTTTTCTTGTCTATTGTTAGAAAATTTTAGATACTGTAAAATTATTAGAAATGAACGTGATATTTCTGCTTTTAGTAAAATTGTGAGATTTCTTTCTACTGTTTTTTAATATTTAGATATTGTAAATTTCATGTGCAAATGACTGTCTTATTATTTGAAAGCTAATACTTTTACAATTGATTATAGCATTGTCTGTGAAATGTTTATTTGCGAATTGACATCCCATAAATTGTGATAATTCCATATTCTTGAATTTCTATAAAAGTTTTTCTATACATATTAGAATGACAATTATGCTAGAATGTCTTTACGAACTGCTACCTTTCTAAATTTGAGCCCAAAATATTTGACTGGTTATTTTTTAAATGTTATTGAAAGTGACTGTTATTAATGGTTTCAGTGAAATTCATATTAATAATTTCAGTGATATGTTGAGTACATGATATTGTTGCTTTCAAATGTTTAAAGAGATTTAGAAATACTTTAAGTATGCAAGTGGACTCATCCGGTTCGCCGGTGAGGTATAAGTGGACCTATCCGGTATGTCGGTAGGAATTAAGTGGACTCATCCGGTATGCCGATGAGCTATAAGTAGACTTGCAGGGGTTAAGTGCACCTATATGGGACGCCTATAGGGATTAAGTAGACCCATCAGGACGCTGATGGGATATATAGGTGACCCACTTGGGAAGCCAGTACGGTAATTTGTGAAATCTTTTGAATTATGCACTACTGTTAAAATATTATACGCATTTCAATTATTCGGATTATACTTAATTATACATTTTTTAAAGTGAAACTGTTGATGCATTTATGTTAATAGATCTCATTTTTTAAAATATTGATATCTTTCAACCATGATTATTTTTAGGATTATGATGATCACTTACTGAGTAGCCAAACTCATCAAACTATGGTAAACATTTTTTCAGGATAATTGTGGTTTCATATTGAGTGCTCGTCAGGATCAACTTTGGAAGATATTGTAGTTGTGCTTAAACTTTATTTTGTTAATTTGTAAGAATTCGCCATTGTAAATTTGTCTTGCCAAGAGATGTATATATGTTTAGACCTTTATGTTAATATTAGTTATGAGCAGAGTTTATATAGGTTTGAGGAAAAAAAAAACTTGAAAGGGGGTTTTGATTTTGATTCAATGCATGGTAGATATCTAAAATTGCTTTGTTTTGAATATCACATATCAAGAATATCAGTATTGTAAATTCTTGAGGGGTGAGACCGATGTATCTGAAAAATTCATCAAAAAATATTGTTTTAATGTTGAAAAACCCTCTAGTTGATCATCTTGACATTGAGATTTGTTAAATTGACAACAAAGAGATTTTGAATCCCAAAAATAGTGCATCTTACAATTTATTATCTTGACCGTTCATGTTCAAGATTTTCATATGTTTATAGATCTATTTGATTTTAACTATTTTCAGAGCTTAAAATTTTATAATTAGATATGAAAATAGATTTTCAAATAATCCTAATAATTTATTACACCAAAATTACATACTATGATAGAATTTGGAGGTGTACCTTGGAAGGTTTAAATTAAGGTATATATATATAAAATGATACTATAAGTTTTTTTCCATCCATGTTTTTTTAGAAATTTATACCAATTTTAATGGTTATCGTTTGGTATTTATACCAATTTTAATGATTATGGTATGGGTGGGGAGGTTAATTTTAATAGTAATCTTGGGAGTTACACATGGGTGAGGAGGATCTTATAAGATCATTACTCACTCATATGTATATATATTATTTTAATAATTAAGGGAATTTTATTTCAGTTATTTTTTTTTATATAATTTTTATATACTTTATAACAACCAATAAACGAGTACAGCACGGTACAGACGCATTAAATGCTTGGATTGGAAAATCAAAATAACATCCACGTGTCAAAATCGGAATGGGCATAGGTGTTTGCGCATTGCATGCATTAAGCAGAGGAGCAGGCAGGCAGGCATTAAATGTGCCACCCTCACCGTCACCACCTCCATTTAATGCTCCTCTAGCAAGACAACAACCTTTTTATATTTCCCATTATACCCCGGTAAATTCGAACCACACGATTATGACCATGCCAATTAACAAATGCCAGTCTGGTGCATGGTATTTTTTGAGTTCCGAACCGGAACCGTCAGTCCGAACAAAGAATCGAATCAGTAAAGCTACGGTTTGGATCGGACTTAGACCCGGGCACAAAAATGAAATGAAATCCGGACCCGGACAGACCCGAATTCAGCAAACTGGAACCCATGAAAACATAAAACGGGACCCAAACCTGACTCAAAAATTAAAATAACCGTATATAATGCAGTTTGTTTAGAGCCGAGGCTCTAAACAATCAAAATAAAACGCACCTTTAAAAATGTAGTTTCAATACTGGAAATCTTTGTGATAAGTTTTAAAATATATTTTCATCTTTAATTATAAAATTTAAAGTAACAAAAATTTAAAACTACAACAATATATCTTCGTATTTGAAAATTGACAATAAAAAAATACATTACAAGATGCACTATTTTCAAAACTTGAAATTCTTTTATTATTATTATTATTATTATGTCGATACATCTTGATATCATGATGATCAATTTAAATATATTTGGGTATCAAAACAACCTCGTGAATTTTTTTGAAGTGGGCTCTAATTTGTCTTCAACTATGACCACATACAATAAAATATAAACAAGCTTTCTATGCATACTTTACATTATAACATTTATATACTTCCCCTTATCCAACCATCCATTTTGAATTGAGGGTTAAAATTACCCCAATCACAATGTCACGTCTCTACACTATTTTATTTTTAATTTTTTCTTATAAACTATTTTGACACCAATTTTTTGACGACCAATCCTCTATTAAAATAAAATGATCAAAATACTTTTGAAAGTTTCAAGGTGTATTTTGCTCATTATATTTTATCAAAAAGTTATTTTTAATATTTTGTATAGATACACCCCAATGAGAAGATAAAACATACCAAATTTCATATTCATACAATTTACATAAAAATAAATAAAAATAAAATACTTTGGAACGTCAGATCTAAAATCTAACGGTGAGTGGTTTACTTGTTCAAAATTGGACAGCTAGATGGTAGAGAAAGCATAAATCTTCTACGCTACAAGGGAAGTATAGAAACCTTTTCCATAAAATATAACGGGTGTGGTTTATATAAAGTTACAACTTCAAACAATCAAATTAAAACGCACTTCTAAATTTTATCAGTAATTTTGGGGTAAAAAACTCTTAAGATTACGTAAATATCTATTTTTATATCTAATTATAAAATTTTAAACTCCAAAAATAATAATAAAATCAAATAGATCTATAAGCATATGAAAATGTGTTGCAAGATTCACTACTTTTTTTAAAAAAAAGGCCTAAGCCATTGATGGTAGCACTACCAAGCCCCATGATGAGCCTGACTTCATTCTCACCAAAACAGGAGGCCAAATCCCCCATGATGAAATCTCTCACTCCATTCTCACCGGGGTAAGGGCTCAAATCCCTACCGACTTACCACGTTTTTGAAAATAAGGTTGGAATTGTGATGATAGCACAACTAGTGCGCCAACTAAAATCTAGGCTTTCATTCTCACTAAACGCATTCAAAAAATCACATACAATTTAAAAAAACAGGTAAAGACTTGTCCTTCCCACTCACAAAAAAAAAATAAAAGATCACTACTTTTGGGACTCTAAATATATATATATTTTTCATGTCCTTCCATATCAAGGTCAAAACGATGCTTTTTCATTGTCAAACCCACCTTTTCCAGTAGATTTTTGAGGTGCATCTTTACTTTTAAAATTTTAAAGTTGCAACTTTATATAAACTTTTTCTAACCGCTATAACATACTACTAATATCCAAATATAATACCACTATTACATACTACTGATATAGATTTTTTATACACAAATAAAACTCGATAAAAAAAATCCAAAATAATAAAAATTACGATTCTCCAATCCCGTACAAAAGGGCTCCACGAGTCAATACCCGAACCACCAGCCTTGCTCTGTGGTAACTAAAAATATAAAGGAAAAACCCACAAAAATAAAGGGAAAAAACCCATATATCTGATAATACAATAAATAAATAAAAATCTTGACTGAACTTTAAAAATAAAAAATAAAAAAAATTACCACCCAGCAAGGACTCTTACCCGCGGTTCGTTCTTGACTCAAATCCCCATCTGCATAATCGGCGATCCATTCCACCACCTTCCAGTTCCTCGGCGATCTTTTCAGGATTTCGAGATATTCGGCACCCGAAAATAACAAATGACGAAAACCTTTTTCATTTCCTCGGCGAACTCTTTCGCATCAGCTCTCGCATTGAAGCGCCGATTTTATCTTTTGAACGGTGCACAAGATGAGGTTGTTCACGGTATCGACCGATTCCATGTTGAGCTTCGCGGTTGGAAGGCTGTTAACAAGAATTTGAAATGCAACTGTCAAGAGCGAGCCGCCTACCCGAGCGGGGCCTCCGGGTTGGGGAGGCCAGCCCAGTTGGTGGGGTGAGCCAGGCCCATCAGGAAGGATAGCGAATCCAGAGGGAAGGAGGGCCACATAAGTGGAGTCCCCGCCGCTCATCACGACATGCATGGCAGGGATGTCAACTGGCGCATACACCACGAGTGCGCCTGACGGGTCAGTGCACGTCTCTTGGAGTATGAGCATGCTGCTTTGGGTCGGGTTCATGGCCTGAACAATGGCCCAAAATCAAATGAAGCCAATAAATTAAAATATCAAGCACAAATTATTTAATAAATTGAACGACATAAATTGTTAAAAAAAAAAAAAAATCTCAAAAAAGCTACTGTTCATGGCTGAATATGGATGCAAATGAGTCCACTAAATTAGTAATTAGAAAACTAAGCCGACTCCAGATCCAAAATCATGGGAACAAACTCTTGCCAGTTATAAAATTTTTCCATTCTAACTAGTCTTACGGCGGAGACTACGATAAATTCAATCGAGTTGCATGAATCGGGCACAGGATCCTAGCAAATCCCATCACCATGATTTTAAGTAAAATTTTCAGAACAGAGACAAGTTTTGGGCCGAATATCTAACAGATTCGGCAAAACGACCCGGGATTGGCCCCTAGCGAATCCTGAGTAATTGGTTTAAACAACCGCCAAACTGTCTCAATCTTTTATTAACTCGGACAGTCCATTAGCTTTTTTTTTTTTTTTTTTGCAAGGAAAAACCCACTATGGAATTATTGCAATTTTTTTTTTCTAATGTATGGTTTGAACAAAAACATTATTATTCTTGAGTGAGAGAAATCAAGAGAGAGAGAGAGACGAGATAAAGAGAAATCCAGAGAGAGAAGAAGTAGAGAGAGAAATCATGGGGGCGAGAAGAGAAAAAAAGAGAGGTAGAATATAGTTGCACCCCACGTAAAGCCTTCTCTCTCTCTCCACCATTAGAGGAGATGCACCGTGTGGAGGTAGCAGAGAAATTGAGAGAGAGCCAGAGTGGGGTGGAGAGAGAGGTGTTTACACTAAGGGAGTGAAGTTGATAATGATGTTTAGAGAGAGAGAGAGAGAGAGGTCGAATATAACGACACATATTTCTCTTTTGGGTTTCGTCTCTCGATGTATATATCTTGAGTGGGTAAGAGAGAGAGTGGAAGAGTAAGGAAATCAGTAAAATTTGTTTCAAATGAAGGTGGCTGGGAGAAAGAGAGAGAAATAGTAGTATATAAATGAGATAGAGAGTGAGGAAATAATCTAGAAAGAGAGAGAGAGGCGTGGCATATCGTGCAGGAGGAACAGAGCATGGACACGAAGGAAAATTTACTACTAATTTCTAGATACTTTTCTTTGGGCCTGGATACACATAACTCTAGTCTAGTCTAGGGTGGCTGCTTGATCGTTAATGAGTCGACAATAATATCAAATGCAGAAAAAATCATTTGTTATTTTAGATAGGTAGACTTGTCTACAGGTCTTTAATATACACAACTTGTGTTTGGGATGGACAATCGTCCAATTTTGATCCTCCGATAGTTTGTAAGCTTTTAATAAACCAACAACAATATTACATATAAAAATATATATAACGAGATAATTCACTTTTGGTACAAGATAGTCACAATTAATCTTGACCATTTGATGTGAAATTAGATGATTGTATTTATTCTATTGACCAAGCTCAAACTTCAAAAGAAATTTTCTCAAACTTTGTGGCACATACGTTAGATGCATACGTACTATTAGATTTCACATTAAATAATTATTAGTAATTGTGACCTCTTTCTATCAAAGGTAAATGATCTCATTGTATACAATCCTGTTACATACATTCTCATCTGTTTTCGACAAACCACCCATCTCTCTAGCATAGACGTCTAGTACTGACAGCCATCTAATAAGATTCTGTCAGTGAGTCATTTGGCATGTCCAATACATCTCTCTACGTTTTTTGAAAAATCAGCTTCTCCACCTTTATGGATATGAAGTCACTTCCGCATGAACTCAGGAGATTTCCCGAACATTACAGTGATAAGAACCACAGGTTTCCATGGGAGAAACCGACGGATAGGGAAATCGGCCCCGAGAACAAAAGTTTAAAGTAGAGAGAGATTTCCGAGGAACCAAACATTACCCTTAGTGTGGCCCTAACTAACAAAGTGCGCTGCTACTAGACATGTATAAGCCATTAACGTGAATCATTGTGCAAGCATGCACCGCAATATAAATGGAGATTATCTACAAAGAGACCACTTATCTTATGTACATAGAGGTCACAAATCATTCTTGTCCCTTAAATTTTAAAATAAACAGTTGTGACAGTGTTATTAAATAAATACAAAGTTCTGAAAAAAAAATTCTCAAACTTCGTGACTAACCCCAAGCTATATCCAATTTGACATCTAAGGAGTGAGAATGATCGTGATCTCCATGTAAAAAAATAAATGGTGCCTTTGTAGACAATCCCATATAAATGTGTGTGAGACAAAAAGAGAGGGGGAGAGAGACTTACACTGGCCCTTAGCAAGGAGACGCAGTTTCCATGGTCCTGGCCCTTGGCAATGTGTGCCATCTCCTGCATGGGCCCACCGTTAGACAGTATGTCCCACTCACTGCGCAGCCTCTCGTCCCTCAGGAACTCGAACAGACGCTGGGGCGCCACAGGCAGCCACACCGAGGTGGCGGCACTGAGCACAACCCCGGGTGGTTCCCCGGGGTCGTCGATGCTTTTCCTTGTCATCACTCGAACTTCCTCCCCACCAGCAGTCATGGACCCCACCCCGCTGCCAGAAAGGTGGGCCCAGTCGTGCACATGGGATCCACACACGCCAGCGCAAAACCTCCCTGTCATCCTCTGAGCCAGCTTCAGCATGCTTCGCCTTCCCGCAGGCGTGAATGCTGCACCATACTACCTCATTAGACTAAAAACAAATATATAAAAGAAACTGTAGAATTAGACATCTAAGGTGTGTCATTTCTTGCACAAAATCTAACAGAAATCATTTTAGACTCCGAGCACGGTCAGTGGCGCAACCCTTGGCTACCCAATTTTGGCTCCCTTATTTCACCTGACAGGTAGGAGGTGATTGTGACCTTTTTCTATAAAAAAAAATGCTCTTATGTTACACTTTCCCTATGTAAATAATCATATACTCTGGACATTATGCCTAGTTAATGACACATTCCTAACCACCCGATTTCACATCCTCTGGTCAACAATGATTGTGACCTTGTACCAAAAAATAAATAATTTTATTGTAGACATTTTCTTGTTAAAAAGGGTGGCAAAATAGAAATAGCTTACACTATGTTTCATACCGATATATGACATGTCTGGTCAAGAGTTTATCACCGTTGGAACAAAAGGTGCATAACGAGAACGGGACCAGCCAATTGGGGCTTGTCAAGGTCCGACAGGTACCCACAGCCCCACCCTCTCCATCATCCCCCTTCCATGGACTGGACAGTGATAACACATATACTGTACATTTTCCATGCAGCAACCAAGGCTCACAAGCAAATCCGAAGGCGGGATCTATTTAGGTAAACTGGAAATTCATTTTCATAATAAAGAACTCGAAAAGAAAATTGAATATCTGAACTCTCAAGGGAATAGATTCTAAGAACCCGTGTATCAAGAAATACCTACCACAGATATTTACAAGCGAATCCGTGGGGGATCCGTCGAGTAAAGTGATTCTGATAATAGAGAACTTCAAAATAAAAGTGAGTATAACTCAGGGAAGAGACTCTAGGAACAAGAATCGATAATGGTCTCGACTGAATTTTATGTTTGCCTTCGGCAAGAAACCAGTTTGAGAACAAATTGTTCATAAAATTAGAGCTATAGAATTTAGTTGAATAAAAAAAAATTTAAAAGTGGGGTAACTGCCAAACTACTGTCAACTTGAAACGTTTTCTAGTGCAGCTCCTGAAATTCAGTTTGCCAAATTTCAAAAATAAATTAGCATGGAAATAAATTGTAAGTAAAATACATCTGAACAAAAAGATATTGATTATGTGAAGAGTTTCAATCAATACCTGCAGGGTTCTGAGAAGAGACAGTAGTGGACAGGAGGATGGCAAGGCACTCGCTCTGACGCTGAAGAGCTGCCAACCATCGTTGCGCCCCAAAACCCATGCCGGAGCTCAGAAGAGCTCGGTACAGCTGGTGTATTGCGCCCTCCTCGTATTCTGCGTGCTCCACCCATGTCACCTGTGCATACAAATGCATAAATTAGAGTTGAAGAATTACCAAGGATTATATATACAGTAGATGAAAGGGAGATGCAAAGCCTGATTGTACAGTAGATCCAAGCCTATAAGTAGAAGTTGTATAGCTGGTAAGGGGGATGACAATAGTACCAACCAGTCCTCCATCTCACAGGCAATTTGACGTGGAGAATGGTGAAAGATGAAAGGGAGATAGAACCAGTGTTTTTAGAATCAGAATCGGGCACCAGCCCAGCAGGGATCCGATTATGATACTCACTGTCCATGTTGTGGTCGATTCCTGAGTTGGATTGGGCTATATTTAATACAGTAAAGTAGAAAAAAAGCTAAAGGGCTGGGAGTAGCAAATGATTCCGAGATTTCTCAATTCGAATCGCCAGGCTCAGAAACACGAGCCAACTCAAATGATCCCAAGTCGGCCTTGCAATTTACAAATCACTGGATAGAACCAACAACAGCAATTGTAAGACCAAGATCCTGTTCTTTAAGAAATGGATTTGTTCAACCATAGAAAACATGTATGAAACACCAGTAAATTAGAGCCTGTCAGCACACACACAGAGAGAGAGAGAGAGAGAGAGAGAGAGAGAGAGAGAGAGAGAGAGAGAGAGTACGTACGTACGTACGTACGTACGTACGTACGTACGTACGTACGTACGTACGTACGTACGTACGTACGTACGTACGTACGTACGTACGTACGT